GTTTCATGAAGAAATATGGCCTTCAGCGTCAAGCCTGTAGAATCCTTTCTACGACGGCAAAAACATTTCGCAAGGCATCCGAAGAACAAACTACAGCTACAAAGAGAGCTGTAACTCAGGAAGTGAAAGAAATTGTGGAAGACTTCTATGAACAGCAGTCAGTGCAACTACCTGACAAAAAACTAATCAGTCAGAAAACCTTGTAAACAAACTGGATTTCTTCAAGTCCCTGTTGGAACCTAGTTCCATAAGTTCAAAGCCATACATTCCAATGTTAAAATAAAATGAAAATCAAAGCACTCAACATCACACACTCGCACAAAATGAAGAACATCATTCACTGGGTTTACGGGTTATCGAGGAATACGATGTGCGGCAAAATAAACGGGCACAATTACCACAAACGGGAATGCATCCAAAGGAAATGCAAGGAGTGTGGAACCAAGAAAATTAAAGAGAAGATGGAAGGGCTGATAAAGAAGCATGGAGACAAAGCGATCACCCGGAAAAGGTGGGAAAGGACAACAGTCAATAACAACGGAAAAGACATAGCAAAGCAACAGATAACAACTAAAGTTGGAACAATTCTCGAATGCACCAGTGAACTCCTGGCAGAAGCAGAGACCATCAGTACTCACCTCTTCAATGCATCTTGCCAGCTTGAACAGTTTGTCAAACTCAGCACTGCACCTCCACCAAAGACAGTCACAATGGTCCTGGATTTTGTGCAGAACTATACCTGCATCTTTCAAGATGAAATACAGTCAGCCCACTGGCACCATGCTTCTGCCACCACCCATCCAATCATCTGCTGCTATCAGTGTCCAGTGTGCATAGAGGCAATGCAGGAGTCTCTTGTCTTCATCAGTTCCGACACAACTCATGACTCCCATGCCGTACATGGTTTTGTGGAAGAGGCTGTAAAGCATCTACGAGAGAAACTGGATGTGACCAGGATCATGAGATTTTCTGACGGAGCATCAAGTCAATACAAAAGTAGAGGGCCATTCTTGGATATTGCTATGGCGGCGTATGACTTCAGATATATTGACATGGAGCACCATTATTTCAGTTCAAGGCATGGCAAAGGTCCAAGTGATGGGGAATCGGCTGTGATTAAGAGTCAAGCTACTAATTCTGTTAAAGCAGGAACAGCAGTCATCCAAAATGCTTCTGACCTGGCCAGCTTTGCAAAGAAACTGAATAAAATACCAGAGGATGGGCAATGCGAGCATTAGACAGTGTTTCTGGTAGAAAAGATTGATTGAGACAGGGATCATGACAGTATTGGGTTCAGGACTGTCAAAGGGACCAGGAAGGTACACAGCATCAAAGGAGCTACCTGCATCGGGAAAGTAAAGATATGAGACCAATCCTGTTTCTGCAGTTCATGTTTTAATGGAGACCATTCATCTTGCCTCAACAAGCATTATGTCGAGGACTGGAAGGAAGTGGATCTGTTTACCAAGCCAAAGACTTGCCAACAGACAGGTACGTTGCTATCAAGCTTTTTTCCCTAAGGCTTAAACTTGCCTGACCATCAAATTATGCATAATGAAACTTCATAGTTGCATTTAATCAAACCAAAACAGCAGTGTTTCAAGTAAGGATTGTACATGCATTGCATTTTGTTTTCAGATAAACAGACCAGCGTACAACCAGTGACACATACTCACCATGAACCAGAACAGGACCAGATGAACACTAACAACAGTGAATCCATGAATCTTTAAGGTAGGCCTATTTAAAGCCACTCATGAAACACTTGTGTCCTGCAAGAATCACTTGTGAAGACAGTGTTCTTTTGACAAAGCAAAGGAAAAAATGACTTTTTGTTAATCAATAGGACTATTATCATTGAGAAGTGAAGTCACAACTAAATGCATGGACTTCAGAAAGTAAAGTGGGCTCCACTATTGTGCTACATATTACTTGTGTTACATGTTTCAATTCTTTGTTACTATTATGTTTTCTTCAGATAGTTAGACCAGCACCATTGTTGGGGATGATGAACCAGCAGAGGGCCAGGATTACACAGACAGCAGCAAGCACTGTGGTCAGAAGAAGCCTGAGGAAGACAAGTCTAAAGGTACGGTAGGTCTATCATATTAACAAAAACTTGAAGCGTTTGTTTCCACAGGTAAAATAATCATTAAGTGCTCGAAAGAAGTGTGTGCAGTATGAGGCACTTTGTATATGTATGTGCCCCTTTGCAGTGCACCCAAGAAATTACACTAAAACGATTATAAAGAAAAGTGAGTGAATTTGGATTGTTTTTCAAATTTACTCTCATAAAATACCCCAGTGAACAGACGTATTTGTCCAGATAGATTATGTAACGTATTGTACAATTTACAAAAGGCATTTCTACAGCTGATGATGCATCATTGTTACTGTTTTAACTACAGGTGATACCAATGTTCCACATGTTGGTGATTTTGTAGCAGTGAGGGTACCAAGTGCCAAAAGAAAAAAGTCCGAGTTGTATATGGCACGGGTACCGGTAATTATTTCTTTATATCAGTTAACTTTTTATACACCAAGCTGAATAAAATTAATCGGTACTTTCTGGTATAATCAACCTTGCTTTATTAGCCAAAGCCAGGTGACAACAGTACTGGCAGATTCTAACATGTTTTTTTTTATTTATCCTTGCATTAAAGGTGACATCAGTGCTAGAAGATGGCTCCTACAGCCTTACATACATGAAGAAAGCAAAGAAGGATGACCCACTACACACATGGCCAGACGGTGATGACAGTGTATGTACGTCCAAGATGCAATATTGTAACAAAGTTGGAATCCCCAC